AATGGGGATCTTAAAAATTGTACTCACTGCCTGCATGGATTTCAATCCTAACTCCGGCCTGTCAATGCTGGTATTTCCTCAGCCTCACTTTGGTGAGCCGTTTCTCTTTTCTTGTTTTGATGCATTCGTCTTCTTCACCTTTCTATCTTGCTCTGCCCTGGTGTATTTTTCGATTCGCTCCATTAATTCCTCTATGTTCTTCAGGAAGTGTCTTCGCAAGCGATTACCAAAGTGGGCAATTATCATCCAAGTCGTTCTTAAAAGATGCGACTGCGAGTTCCTGGTTACAAGCTAAAATCCGATTGTAAACCTCATAATACCTCTTGGCGTATGCCTTAAGACCTTCGCCTTCATTGATCTTTAAAGCCAGTAGGGAGTCTACCCTTAGTGTCTGCAATTTGTTTGTAACAAACCTAGCCACAAACATCTCAGTCAGGCTTTCCCAACTCTTCACACATCCTTTCGGCAGTTTATGGAACTAATTTGATGTATCATAGATCTGAAACCTTGGCATACTAAACCTTTTCGATGTTTCGAACGCATCCAACTCCACCGAGAATGGCGTCTTTGGCTAGGCGTTGGATGTGATCTTAGCATCATGTCTCTTTCTTTGAAGGTAATTTCTCAAGTCCTCCTTTGTTCGTCCGGGAGCTCAGCTATCAATTGACTTTAGCCTTTGAAGGTAATTTCTTAGGTCCTCCTTTGTTTGTTTGAGAGCTCAGCTATCAGTTGACTTCAGCCTTTTCAGTACGTTGCTTCTAGTGTTAGGGTGCATTCTCTTATACTTCTCCACGTCCACTACATCATCAAAACAGAGGCCCTGCCCGTGGATCTGTTGAGATCCCTTGACGTAGGTACCCTTAGTTAGTGGTGTCTTATGGGACTCCCCTCGCACTGACTCTATCTGTCCGGCATCTCGTGATTGCCGATGTGAATTTCCATGCCCTTAACATGCTATGGGACAATTGGTACTGCTTTCTGTCCTCCCTTTTGGACATTAGCTTTGGCTGCTGGGGCTGGTCTATCTTGCAAGGGAAATGCTAGTTGCATCATATTGTTCTGCATCATAAAGTTGACTACCATCTACAAGTCTGTCAACTTGTTTGCCATGTCCTTTAACTCTACATCCCTTCTCAGGCATCTATCCTTCCATCAGGCATCTATCCTTCCATACGTAAAGATCGCCTTCATGGTGGTACTCATCTCGGTTACCTTTCTTGTTCCCATTTCAACCCCTGGCAACATTGGTCACCTCGGGATCTACCTCATGCACTTCTTCATTGTTGTTTTCTCCTTCAGTATTAAGATCCATGTGTTTCTCCTCTTCACTATGAATGTCATTCTCGATTCTCACTTCCCGTCCGTTGTTGGCCATCTATTCTATACTAAGTTCCCACAGATGATGCCAAATTGTGAATGTTAATTTCCGACCATATAACCAAACAAGGAACTTAGCTAGAGAGCACGCGACAGAATAAATTAAACCAACCACCTGCCAACAAGAAGATGATAATACAGTGATGACTCATCCACTCGAGGGCACTTAGACGATCAAGTCAGTCAAACAATCTCTCAAAGATACCAAATAAGTACTAAATTCACAGAATAAAGCATACCTTAGACCCACGAGGGTGCCTCTCTTTTATAGCCAACAGTGCCCTAGTCCCCTAGAAGTCTCATTTCATAGGACTCAAGCACAATACTTATCTCGGACTCTTAGCTAGATAGAGATAAACTCCTCAAGAGCCTTATCCTTATCCAGACTAGGTGCCCTCCTTTATCTAGGACTCTTGTCCTCTATCCAAATATCTCGGGATTCCGGTATTACCGCAACATGTCTCGGCAAATACCATAATTATCTCAGCAACATGAATTGCCCGCATGGCACCTCGGTCGACACCTCAGCGGCACCTTGGCCACGTGGCATCATTCTCAAAATACTTCCCCACAACCTTACTTAGATGTATCTAAATAGTAAAATATTTGCGAAAAAATATTTTAAAAAATTAATAAATATACAAAAATACGAAAAGTGTACTAAATTTTCATTTTTTTAAAACATATTTTTGGTATTTAATAAATTTTTTAAAGTTTTTTTTTTTACAAATATTATACTTTTTAACTGCATTTATGTTAAGTGTGTTTAAAAATTTTAAAAATTGCTTAAAATATAAAAATAATTTAGTGAAAATAAAAATACAAAAAAACATAGAATTTTTTAAACAGTGAATTCCAAAAACTAAAACCAAACAGAGTAAATGTTGCTCTAACCAATATTTTAAAAATCGAACTGGTGAACGAATCAGAAAAAGGATCAAATGGGCCGGTTAGCGGTTTTCAAAACCATGGCCCAAACAATAGCAACATCCAGACCAAATTTTTACTTTTGTCTCCCATGTATATATACACTCAAACAAACGCACACGCGTGAGATCAATATGTGCATATGCAACCTTTAGGCGCCGTTTGGTAACACTTGTGTGTTTGGTAACGTTTACGTTTTCAGTTTATATTTACAAAAATTTTATAAACTAGTTTTTATTTATTTTTTGTTTATTTTTAGAAAAACACAAACTACAAACGTGTTTGGTAATTGACAAAATGTTTAAAAAAAATTTAAATATAAAAAAAAAAGTGAGAAATAGCAAATAGTGGCAAGTGGCGGCAGAAGACGATGGTAGAAAGTGGTGACGGTGGGTAGTGGGTAGCTGGTGGTGTTAGGTGGTGGGGTGATGGTGGCGGGTGATAGCGAGTGGGTGGTGGTGGTTGTGGTGGCGGGTGGTGGGTGGTGGTAGCGGGTAGGTGACGGGTGGTGGTGCTGAGTGGATGGGTAACGGTGACGGGTGGTGGGTGGGTGACGGTGGCGGGTGATGGGTGGTAGCGAGTAGGTGGTAGTGGTGGTGGCAGGTGGTGGCGGATGGGTGGTACGAGTGGTGGTGGTGGTAGCGGGTGGTGAGTGGCGGTGGCAGGTGGGTAGCGGATGGCGGGTGGTGGTGTGGGTGGTGGATGACAGTTGCGGGTGGTAGCGAGTGGGTGGTGGTGGTGGTGGCAGGTAGGGTGGCGGATGGCGGGTGGTGGCGACGTGGGTGGTAGTGGTGGTGGCAGGTAGGTGGCGGATGGCGGTGGTGGCGGTAGGTGGTTGAGTGGTGATGGTGGGCTGGGTGACGGTGGCGGTGGTAGCGAGTGGTGGTGTAGTGGTGGCGGCGGTGGCGGGTGGTGGTGGGTAGGTGAGTGACGGTGGCGGGTGGTAGGTGGTAGCGAGTGGGTGGTGGTGGTGGGTGATGGTGGTAGCAGGTGGGGATGGTGGTGGTGGTGGCGAGGGTGGTGGTGGTGGATGGGCGGGTGGGTGGTGAGTGGTGGTGGATGGTGGTGGGGGGTGGTGGTGAGTGGTGTGGCAGTGGTTGGTGGGGTGAGTGGTGGGTGTGGTGGTGGAAGACGGTGGTGGAGAAGTGGTGGCGGGTGGTGGCTAGTGTTGGGTGGGTAAAAAAAAAAAACTCAAAACTCAAAACGGAAACACATTTTTTGTGTTTTCATTTTTTTTGGCCAAATTTATAAATGAGACCCTGATTTATAAACAAAATTTTACCAAACAAGTTTTTATTTGAGTTTTTAAAATTTTTGTAAATAAAACAGAAAACTGAAAACGTAAGTGTTACCAAACGACTACATTTTCAGTTTTCCTTTTATATTTTAAAAAATTTTAAAAACTCAAAATAAAAATATAAAAATAAAATGTGTTTCATTTTGAGTTTTCGTTTTTTTTTTTTTTTTACCACCCAACACTAGTCACCACTTGCTACCATTTTCACCACCGTCTTCCGCCACCACCACCCACCACCCACACCACCCACCACCATCCTGCCACACCACTCACCAACTACCACCACCTACCACCCGCCCCACTCGCACCACCACCCACCACCTATCTGCCATCCCACAACCGCCACCACCCACCACCTGCCACCACCTCCCACGCCGCCACACCCACCCGCCACTACGCCACCACCACTCACCCCCACCTGCACACCATCCACCACTAACCACCACACTAGCCACCACCACCACCAGCCACCCTGCCACCCACCCGTCACCACCACCCACCAACCACCGCCACGCCACCCCACACCCACACCACGCCACCCCCACCCCACCCACCACTACCACCTCCGTCCTCGTCATCCCCACCACCCACCACCCACACCTACCCGCCACCCACTCGCCACACCCGCATCCCCACCCACCTGCCACCACGACCGCCCGCACTACCACCACCACCACCACCCACTCGCTACACCCCCACTCGTTAACCACCACACCGCACCCCCACCCACCACCACCACCACCACACCACAGCTACCCACAACCACGTCACCACTTTCCACCACTGTCTTCCGCCGCCACTTGCCACCACTTGTCATTTCTCACTCTTTTTTATATTTTTAATTTTTTAAAATATTTTGTCAATTACCAAACGCGTTTGTAGTTTATGTTTTTCTAAAAATAAACTAAAAATAAATAAAAACCAGTTTATAAAATTTTTGTAAATATAAACTGAAAACGTAAACGTTACCAAACACACCTATTAAAAAAAAGGTGCATAGAATTCATGCATACAAAACTGCACACACACCTTTGTCTCTAATTTATACTTTTTTAGGTCTTGTTTGGCATATACTAAAAAAGTTAAAAAGTTGTTATCCTATTTAAGTCACATCATCTTATTTAAGTTACATCACTTCTTTACCACATCACTTCAAACTTAATCCATACCCAACTCATATTTCATAAAAAGTCAAAAAGTACACTTATTTAGAATATCTCAAACCACCCCTTAATGTACGATTATGTGCATGTAGCAAAACTAGTATTGATACTAAAAATGGCCTATTACAATAGGACTTAAAAACATGTATGGAAAAAGAAACCAAAGCATAAAAAAAGAACTTGATAACATAAAATATGCATATGAATTAAAGAATGAAATTGCTTGCTTGAGAACATAATATGGAGATCAAAATAGATCTTCGATTAAGAATTACTTCAAACAAACTCAAGTTTTGCTATTCTTTTGGCATTATAGCTCTACCAATGCCAAAAGATCAATAACAAGAACAAAAACTCAGAAATGAAAGCGTTCCGAAACAAGTCCTTAAAGTTTGAACATGTATAAACCATCAAGTTTTACGACCCCAAAAGCCCTAGCAAACCTTACAAACAGAAAGCAGAAGTAAATGGTCAAGAGTCCAACACCCAAAGACTTGTCCAATCTCATATTTTTCTTTGGCAATATCACAAGAGCCCAAAGCAAACCAGCCATCAAAAACCCTAGAATCTCATAGAGATACGGGTCACTAGGAATCACATAAGAAGATGGGTACTCAGACCACGCTGCTAAAACAAGTGACATTCCCAAACCCACCATTGTGTTGAACACAGGTCCAGCATAGCACCCTGACATTGCAATTTGTGCCCCATCTGGCCCACCCTTCATTGCCACAGCAACATTGGCCATCAAATCCCCAGTTGAGTTGCCCCAAGCTAGGACTGTCAGCCCTAGAATTGAAGGGCTTATCCCAAGTATGTTCCCAAATGAAACCAACAAAGAAACCAATTCCTCTGCAACAATGTATGTCCAAGTGATGCTCATCAAAAACCCACCTGCAAGCCATGGGAACAAGCATTGCTTTGGTGGGCTTGACATGTTTGTTGCCACAAATGTGATGTTCCCAAGCACAAAACCCATTAAGCCTGAAGTCATATAGTTCACTATACTGGTTTTTGAAGCCATGTTTTCTCTTTGTGTGTTCCAAAGGGTTGCTAATAGAATTGGAGCCAATGTAACTGAAATAACTGCAAATGGCTTAGACCATCTATCTTCCCTAACAACCGGTATGGTGAGCCTTCTTGGCAAGTACAGAGGCATCTCCAAAACAAAAGCCAAGTATACCCAAATTGATGAATCAAGATTCAAAGACCTTGTTCTTGGTTTTTGAACCAAAGCTTCAAAATCACCTCTCTCCACTAAAATTGCTTTTTCTTCATCGACACAACCCATTAATGGAATGCCAATCTCACCAAACTCACCTAAGAAGCTCATTGAGGTCGGAGAGACTGACGATAGGTTCACAACCCTATTTTTCTTTCTATGAAAGAAATGCATGACAGAGACCACAAAAATATAGACAAAGTACAGAGAAACAAAGGAAATTGCACCCCACAAACTGATTTTCCCGACCATAATGATAAAGAACAGAGAAGAAAGTGAAAAAAGGAAGAAAAGGACATCTCTAATGAAACTAGGCTTATCAACCGAAATCTCATGAGAATTAATAGCTATACTTATAATACCCACAACAACACTTGATACAAAAAATGCCCCGCCAAGGACAATGTTGAGGCCAACATCACCATCACCGGAGCGGGTAAATGAGATGATGCTAGAAAACACGTCCGTGGCACCATTTCCAAGAGGGAGGAGGGTGGTACCGGCAATGGTTGGAGAAAGATTCAAGATTTTAGACAAGCTTTCCAAGGAAGGACAGAAATAATCTGCAGCTGTGTTAGCCAACATATAGAACAACAAAACAAGCCATAAGAACAATATAGCATAGCCCAAGAAAGGCAATTGGCCACATGAGCAGTAAAAGATTTCAAGATAGTTTATGTAGCCTTTGGGCTTACAAGCATTATTTGATTGTACATATGCACACTTGGATTGATAATCGGTGTGCTCGTGTAGGCCAGTACAAGCATTGGTATGCATATATTGGGTGAATTGGATGGTGGTGGAAGAGGAACCTTTGGATTGATTGAGAACAGTGGTGGTAGTGATGTAGAATGACAGGAGGAAGAGGAAGGAAGTGTTGAGGAAGAGAGTGTATTTCTTGGGTTGAGGTGTGAAGAAAGTTAGACTCTCCATTCAAGAGAGCTTGTAGAGAAAGGGGTGTTGGTGTTTCGAAATGAAATCCATGGTTTGGGAGTACTTATGGTGTGATGAGTTAGGAATGTAGTCTTTTTGATTAACAAAATTTGGGAGGATCCTTATTATGGAGGAAACAGACATATATAATTAAGAGAGAGAGAGAGAGAGAGAGAGAGGATCAATTCTTATCTCACTTCACTTTCAAATACAAATTGAATAGCTTACATTTTGTTTTGTCTTGGAGGAAATTGTTGGGTGATCAGCAGCCCCGCCATTGTCTATATATTAGCTTGATTTTTAGGGGTCATGGTTAAATTGAGTAAAAATTTAGTATAATAGTGATATTACATTGTTATTGATACGTGATATTATCAATTCATATAAAATTATATATGGGATAGTGAACTCTACCATTTAGATTTTTTTTCATCTCAAGTGAATCTTATAATTACCACGTATACATAGTGGGGTTTACTATATCTACATAGTAATTTGCTATTGAATGGTGATGTTACATGTCAATGGTGATGACGTTATATTACCATTTTATTAAAGTTTTGAGTAAATTGTTCTCATCACATGACACACATGTTGCAAAGGATTCATTTTTAAATTTTTATCACTGTCTCAAAATACTTACAATTATTAGATTATGTGAGAATTTTAAGTGAAAATCTAGAGATATATTCACAATTGTGAGAATTTTGAAACCATAAACAGAAAAATTTGAGAATAAAAATCGTGTGTGCCACACATCTTGGGTTTGAGTGAGGTGGGCCCGGGGCAGTATTTAGGCCTATGGTTGACTGTTAAGAGAGAGAGAGAGAGAGAGAGAGAGAGAGAGAGTAGGTGATGGTAAATGTGAAGTTTGTGTTTCTTTAACTTTAGTCTTAGATGGGAATCATCCTCCACATGTTTCTTCTAAGCTCAATTGGATCCTTTTTTGGTACATTAGGTAAGTACAACTGAGGAAATTTCCAGGCACTATGAGAGAGGGAAAAAAAATTTCTAGCATAAATGATGAGGACAAAACATACAATGCATGATCAAAAAATGGAAAACTATTGTTGATTGGGGAGCTTACAAGCTCAATAGTTCATTAGCTCATAACTTAGAACTCAGTTTATTGTAAGAATTGGAAGCTCAAAACTTATCATAACAGCTATGGCCAAGTGGCCATTATAGATTGTCCTAAAGGGTGATTTTGTAATTTCAGGACTGAAAGATGAGTTTGTCCCGGGAGCTTAGGGAGCTTCTATTTACACATCCACCTTCCCCTCTTTGCACACACTTCATAAAAATTATTTTTATTATAAATTTTTTTTCAAGTGAAATTACTATTATAGACATCAAATAAACACATTCGGAAGTTGAGTGTCGAAAAAATAATAAAAATTCGGAAGTCTACTTCCGAACTAATTGCTTATTTTCGGAAAGCAACTTCCGAACCAATTACTTATTTTCGGAAATCTACTTCCGAACCAATTATTCATTGAAAAAGATGTGCAAAGAGGGGAATGGGTGTGTGTAAATAGAAGCTCCCGGGAGCTTAGCTTCTATGTCTACGCACCAAAACACACATTTTCTCTTAATATAAACTTACATAATAATTTTAAAATTTGATATTTTGTTCTGTACATAATTTCATCATTTCTAAAATATCTCTTACTTTTTCAACCTTTAAATCTTAACCCTAGCCGCCCATAATCCTAAACACTCCTAGCCACCACCAACCAAAATTCTTGCCGGCAACCACCACCCGCCAACTCCCCCTTACAATTCAATTATGCTCATGTCATTATTTTTGCAAAATAAAATAAATCAATTGATTATATTAGCATACATGTTTAATAGATATACACATATATACAATTTTGGTTATATTAATATTTATTTATTTTAAATATTATGTGTCTATATATATACATATATAAAATTACATATTATGTTAAATAATATGAATCTTATTAAATAAGATTTATTATTTATTATTTTAGAAAAATATTCATCGCGATTTGACAATAATGTTTTAAAGTTTATTGTTTATTAACATCTAATATCCTTCCACATCATATGACTGAATTTAAAAGTCATGTATTTAAGATTTCTAACATTTCTTAAATTTATTTTACATCGTCCATATCCAAAAACCATACCATCTTGTATTACATCTTTATTTTCTTCTCTTTTAATGATGATTGCCCCCACAAGAAGTTTCATGCCATGGCCACCACCTTCCCTCAACCGAAGTATCCCAATGCCACCACCATATAACACTCAAACTAGGAAGTTTTTGATGTTCTGTATTCACAATTGAATTAATGGATTCAAATTACCAAATAGAGACCAGAGCCGTTACAAAAATCTATATTCCTAAAATGTGAAATAAAAAGTTTCTCATCAATATTGCAATATGCCTTGGATACGAGTCCCTGGATTAGAAAGAGCGTTTTGCCACATGCTGTCCAAAACTAATAGAAGCCCATTGCCACAGTGTAAACACATTTATTCACCCACACCGATGAAGAGCTTGTAAATTGCCCATTCTGACCAATTAGTTAAGCAATGGGATTAGTCTCAAATCAAATCAAATAAGTCTTGTATCCCATTTAAATGGAAAATGGATGGCTGTTGTGTCTTGCGCACAATAGTCACTGTTGTTTGCTCAATGAGACTCATTTTGAGTCTCAGTTTGATAATACAAACCATTTACTTTTTATGATACATCGAGTAAATTACATCTGCAAAAAATTAAATTGATCGGATATTAGTAATACTTTCATCAAATTACATTTATATATGAAAAAATGAATGGTAAATGTGATTTTAAGTATAAAACTGAATATAAATGTTATTTAGTCAAAAGGCTACCGATAAACAATCAACTTAATTTTTTTGAAGTACATTCTACTCAATGTACCATACTAAATGAATGAATGGGTCAGATCAAAGTTGTTGGAAAATTTGGTTTTATAGGCTTATTATGAGCCAACTTTGAATCCAATTTTGAATGAGTCCCAAACTTCTTTTGGGATGGATCCAAAGAGGTGACGTGTTCCTTGCCGCATAGCAAGTCACACGGTGAAGACGGTTCGTCAAAACCATTTATAAGTGAATGGGAACTTGACGTCGTTTTCGGATTCGTGGAATAGACATTTAAAGAATTAAATGTAGGTTTCCTTGTAAGGCTTGTCCCACATTGAAACTTTAACAGAGCTTGTATATGTATATAAGTTCTAGGTGGTAACACTTGGGTTGGGCCCCCAAGGGGCACTCCAAGTTTGTAGAAGGGAAGAATTATGGACAAATGGAACCTTGGCTCAAACCACCACATGCGCGTGCTGCCACCATCCAACCAGTCGAGCCGTGTGTGGGTGTGGGTGTGGGTGTGGGTCAGGTCAGTTCTAATGTTAATTTTTTGGACAAAATTCACTTGAATTTTTTCAAAGTCAAAATTTTGCTCCAAATTTGAATTTAAATTTTTTGTCCATAATTGTGCCACTTCCAGTCCAAAATTCCACGAAAGATTCAAATTTTCGGACAGATTCAAATCTGCCAGCAGTTTTCCAATAGATAGAAACTGCCTAGCAGTTATCTGTTTGTACCTGTCTAATTTGAATTTGCATCTGTTCATTCAAATTTCAGACCTGTTCGGGTCTATCATGATGCCTATAAATTCAGGTTCATTTCCAGCAGATTGGTATCTTGAAAAACATCCAAAAAACTCTAAAATTCTCTTGGTTCCTTCTGGGTTTGCTCTTTGGTTACATTGTTCTTCATATTTAATTTTTAGGGAAAAATTCAGAGAGTTTAGAACACAACTTTTGTTCATTGTACAAATTGTTTGGAGTGCTACTACAATTTGTGAAGATCATTGTATTCTGGGAAATAGACGCCATTTATCCGTAAGCACTGTAGCGAGGCGAATCTATCTTAAGAACAGAGTGTCACACACTCGACTCAATCTTTAAATATTTATTCGATTCGGTAAAATAAATTCGATAAGTAATTTATTTTATTTGTTTAATTTGTTTTAATATATTTATTCCACACAGAAGATTGTTTCAAAGTATGACCTAAATGAGCCAAATTGAGCGCACAATAGTGCCTTTTGTGAGTACGGCACAACAGCCACCTTTCTTCCCATTTAAATAAGTTCAGTTACATAAATTATTTTTTGCTTTTCCATTCTTGTAAAGATTTATAAATTTATATTCATTATTAATGCATCTCAACCAATTTAGATTTCCCCTCTCCTAATATTTTTATTTATAATGATCATGCCATTTTTTTTTACCATTATATCTATAGATTTTTATTGTATATAACCAAATCATCTATAGATCTTTATTGTATATAACCTCTCCTAATATTGTCTTAACCAAACCATCCTAACCTAGAGGTATAAAAATATATATATATTTATAACTCACGCAAACAAGCAATTTTGGATGAATTAAAATGAGGTATGTGACATAGTAGAATATACACGGAACTAGATATTATTCTAATAGACGAAGGGGTTCTCGAATTCATAAGAAACTAAAACCTTGAAAATATTTAATATTATTAAATAAAAGTTGTCTCCTCGTCATAAGGCTTACATAACTATTTATAATAAACTAAATCTTGAAAATCAATTAAATTTAGACATCAAGAAACCTAAATTAAGAAAAAATAAATTAATTTAATTCTTGAAAAACAAGTAACCTAAGGAAAACAAAATAAAACCAAATTACAAAACCTATAATATTACTAAATTACAAAAGTTTCATAATAAAATACTATATCAAAAATATTTTTTAAAAAAAAGTTAGAAATTTTCCTACATCATCTTCCCCTTCGCGTGCTCGAGTTCGAACTAAAAATCTATTATCTTTCATATAAATAAAGAGATATTTTTAATACATCATGTTATTGAGTTGTAATTTCAAAGAAATTTTCATGAATTGAATGTGCAAAATTTTCTTTAAGTTGAACTTCAATTGATTGAAAAGATCGATCAAATATGAATTAAAAATCACATCAAAACTTTTGATACCAATCAATTCTTCATTTCTTGAACATCTATTGGTGAATGAATTGGACTAGGTGATTTTATTAACTCTAGTTCCATTTGTTTTCAGAGATAGAATGGAGGGGATTGTTAGTGAGGGGACTACTAGTAAGGGGATTAAAAAAAATTG